TGTTGGCCATTTGGATGTCTTCTTTGGAAAAATGTCTGTTCATGTCTTCTGCCCATTTCTTGATTGGATTCTTTGTTCTTTGGGTGTTGAGTTTGATGACACAGAAGTCTTTAGTTGGGTGTCCGGGGACCTCTTGCCAGAAGAATTACCAGGTTTACTAAAATAATAATGACTTTGGAATAGCACTTCTGCTGCCAAAGTAATAACATGGACAATATTTTGTGGGGAAAGGATTTTCCTCATAGCTATCATGGGGGTGTGTGTGTGCACCTGATAGGTCACTTAAGATCAGAGAAAAAGCAGCAGAGCAAACAAGTCTGGAGTAATGGAAGGTGGAGCCAGGAGGCTGCGGGGACTTTTGAGTCTTTTTGCCCTTGCCCAGACACCACCTGTCATGACCTGGTCAAAAGGGGCTGGGGGAGGAGGAGACTGCTTGTAGGGAACTAGGACATGGAGCCCCTCAGTGTCGTCCTTAGAAATAAAGGAGGACTTGACGAATTCCAAACCAGGACTGGAAAGGGAGGAAATGTTGGCAGAGATTTTGCAGAGAGAGTGGGCACAAGGTGGGCATTGTTCTTCCTGGAGGAAGCGGGAAGCAGGGGTAGAAAAGGACCGTGAGCCAATCAGCTGGCCATCTGGGTCCTGCCTCCTCTCGCTGACCACACAGGCCCAGAGTCACCGGACACCGGACACCGGCCAGAGGGTAAGGGCCATCCCCCTCATAAGGCAGTGTGGGGGACAGCCCGGTCCCACAGAGACCACAGCATGCTGGCGAGCGAGTGCCCTGGGATGCCCCAGCTGCTGGCGACAAAGCAGCTCCTGGCTAGAAGCCACTCAGTGCAATGCGCCCTAAACAGGCCTCTGATTTTGTTCTGTTTTCTCCCTCTTGCCCAGGGCCCACCTGGAAAGGATGGGCAGCATGGAGCACCAGGCCTGCCGGGACCCAAGGTTGGTGTTCATGGGGGTGGCAGGAGTTTAGGACCCAAAGAGCAGGAGGAAAGAGATGTTGGATCGTTGGTGAATGCTAAAATCCACTGATTGTCTCGCCCTGGGTTCGGGACTCGGGAATGTTGGGATTCACCAGGTCAGACGTGGGCAAGTCCTTTATTTCTGCTAAGGTAACTGGGGAAGGATTTGGAAGCCTCAGGCTTTAAAACGAAGCTGTTAGAAATATGTTACATATTTGCAGGGAGGAACAACTTTCAGATATGCTTAACATAAGAGACTTTAATTTTAAAAATATTCTGGTGGGGCTCCTTATAGTAGGATCATTAAGAAAAGAGTCTGGGGTGGGGCACCTGGGTGGCTCAGTCGTTAAGCGTCTGCCTTCGGCTCAGGTCATGATCCCGGGGTTGAGCCCCGCATTGGGCTGCCTGCTCAGCGGGAAGCCTGCTTCTCCCTCTCCCACTCCCCCTGCTTGTGTTGCCTCTCTCGCTGTGTCTATGTCAAATAAATAAATAGAATCTTTAAAAAAAAAAAAAAGAAAAGAAAAGAGTCTGGGGTTAAGTATCATAAAATTGGGAAGCAAATTCCCAGTTCACACATGGCAAACGAACAACTACAAGACCACACAATAAATATTTCCACCAGTGAATTTGATTCTTTCCTACCAAACACATACGCTCAGTGTGTGGGGCAACAGTCCGTGAAAGGCAGCTTTTCGATATTATGAGGACATCCATCATCCTCTTCAATCAGTAACTTAGAAACTCAACTTTTTCAAGACCAAATACTGAATAAGTATGGATTTAACTTCATTTTATGGGTATTTATGTGAATAGTCTCCATCTTTTCTCCCTTGTCTTTCATAACAAAGGAAAGGGCGAACCCAGTATTTCGTATTCTCAAAATCATTCACACGACATCTCCTGTACCCCAAGTCTCTCAGTGAGAGGAAAGCACCTTTTCTACTCAGTGACATTTTTGTAAAATTAAACAAAAGCAGAGGCATGGAACATGGAATCTAAGAGGTAGTACCAGCCGCCGTTTTTGGTCACCGTGGTCATGCAGAATGAAGGAGCTCAACACCACCAAAGGAGTGATTGTCTGCCTTGACCAGCCTGTGACGAGTGCTGAGTGGGACTCCCCGAGCCCAGCACTCTCCTGCCAACCTCTCTGTGTGTTCCTTACAGGGCCAGCCAGGAGAGAGAGGAGAAGGCGGTCTGCCTGGAAAACCTGGCCCTAGGGTATGGATCCCATCTCCTCCCCACCAGTGGGTTCTGCTGCACGGTGTGTTTGGGGTTGTGTGAACCACAGCGGATGGTGTGAGCACTGACTGTCAGCGGGGGTCTGGCAGCGCCATGAACACGGGGCTGTTGGAAGGGGTGAGGGCAGGTGGGGGCTCCGACAGGGATAGCCACACCTGGTGGGAAGGGTCACACCATGTCTAGGACAGAGGGAGCAGGGGTGAGTGGGTTTCTAGGGAAACCTGTAGCTGTGGCCTTGGGAAGAACTCGTCACTGTCCAGCTTATCCTGGCAGCGATGAGCGAGAGGGCCTTCTCACTGTCTGCCTGTCTGTCTGTCTGTGTCCCTCCTCCCCTCCCCACTGGCACGCCCTAATGCCTGGCCCCAAGTTCTGGCTGATGTGGTCTGTGGCGTTCAGCCCCCTGTGCCTCCAGCAGGTGCCAGGGGCTATGGGAGAGGCAGAGGCCACTCCCCATTGCGTTTGGACAGGGCACCTCCTGTGGGGGTTTGGATGGCTGTCCCTCAGAGCCCCACATCATGGGCTACAGGGTCTTCTTTTGTCTTTAGGCCCTGAGCTCAGATCTCAGCTTTGGCCCAGGCTCAGAATGCAGTGAGCACCAAGCAGAGAGGGCTGGACCATGTGTGCATGGTGCTGTGTGTGTGGCTGGGGTGTGTGTGTGTGGTGCTTGTCGGTGTGTATGTGGGGTGTGTGTGTGGTGTGTATGTGTGCAGATGCTGTGGCTCTAGGAGAGTTTGTGGCGACAGGAGATTGCCGGGGTGCTGCCCCCCCATCAGTGCCCTGCACTTTGCTGGGTTATGAGCTAGTCAAGGGAAGCACCCTTGACTGGGTCTCTGTCACCTCTGCTCTCCCATTCCCACCTGTGGTCAGGCACTCGGCAGGTGCTCAGTAAAGGTTTACTCTACGGAGGATGGATATCAAATTCAGCCGAGCAAGAGCACAGCAGTGGCCTGAACTCAACACCTGCCTCTCTGGAAGGCAGGACTCCGATCACCTTGCTGGCCAGGGAAGGTGTTCCTGGGCAGATGCGGGGCCCTGGCTTTGCCTCATTGTTTCATAAAGTGATTGTTCTTTAGAAGACCAACAGAAAACGGAGCAGGAAAAGCACAGATTAAAACACACCTGGTAAAGTCAAGCACACCCAGGTTGATTTAGATGTGGAAAGAACCTCCCCAGGTCCACTAGGAAACCTCCTGTTGTCAGGATTCCAGATGCAAGAGGCTCAGCTTCATGCCCCCCTTAGTGCCCAGTGAGTTGTCCCCTTGCCACTTACAAGACTGTGCTCCTTCGTATTTTAAGAAGCAACATATGCATTTTAAAAAATACCTATGATGATCCCCAAATCGTTGAAATACAATAATAAGTAATTTACCAAGCTGTGTCCATGCACACCTGGAGGTGCTTGTGTGGGATGAATCTCATGGTCTTAAAAGCACCCAGGCAACCTTTCAGCATTTGGTTGAAATTCTGTCATTTTCCGGAAAGGACTTAACACATTTGCACAGGTTGGCTGACTTGACCTGGTAGATTTTATGGTGTGAACCACACCTTAAGAGTTGTATTTTCTCAAATTTGTAAAATGGCAAGTCCTGGGTTTGTGCATGTGAATTCCAACATTGTGTCTGGTGGTCTTTGGAAGCAGGCTCGCCCCCATGCATGGGTCTGCAGAAGGCGGCCACTGATCTCAAGAAGTGTTGGGCTGAACTCAGAGGTGCTCTTGGGGATTTCTGTGGTCTTTCCATCTGCATGTTTTATATTTCTGGTGATCTCTAATGGCTGGAAGATTTGAACAGAGAAGCCTACTACTCTGGCTCACATGTGGTGTTTTTGCCCGATTTCTAGTGCAATACGTGTAAAACATGGCTCTAGGAAGTTCAAAACTATGAATTTTTGCAGTTATGGTAGTTTTACAACATCCTTTGTAGCCTCAAAAAGGATCTGGTCTGGGGTCTTCTTACTTTTTTTGACAAAATGCCCAACTGAAGATAAGCATCTCCCAAGATTACGGGTAAGTTGTAGACAGCGGGTTTCTGAGTCCACCAAGGAATGCAGCTGGCTTGCAGCGTGCACAGATCAAGAATTCAAGACACCATCCAGCCCTCTGTCCACCCTGCTTTTGACTTAGGGTTCATGGCATGAATTCAGGGGACACTTCTGAGGCTCTTCAAAATGCCTTCTCACCAAACCCAGATGCACAGCGCCTTTCTCAGCACGTAAGCAGCAATTCCCATGGCTAAGGTGTAATCATCCAAGCAGATTTAAAGTGACAGTTTGAGTGGCAGGTATTTGCACAATTCTGGTTAGAGAAGTTCTTCCTAATCGTGCCTGTAAATACTGGGAATTCATGGGGGATCGGAATGCATGGAGAATTTCTATATGTGCTTACTCCAATGCTGGGTCCCCTGGTGGCCTCAGAGCTATAGCATCAAATGTGTGCTTAATTGCTTAATGCTAACCAATGCTGTGGGTTATTTTTTCTTTCTTTCTTACCTTCCTTTCTGAGACGTGGTGGTAATGTTAGCCTTCACCACCAGCTGAGTCTGGTATGGCTGCGGGGAAAAATCATTATGTTTATTCGTACCTGCTCATTTATTCATTTATGTGTCCATTCACTTACCAGAAAACCACATTTCCTTGTGGAAATCTACACTAAGGTTCTGCTCAATAGCATCATGGGTGTTAGAAATTGTCATTCAAGAAGTTAGTGCTTCTCAAGACACATCCTAAGTTAGAAATTATAGTCCCTCCCCACTACCCCCCCCACACATTTACATCAGTAATTTGTAGGGATCTGGTTAACACAGCAGCCAGATGTCCTAGGACCAGGGACCAAGCCCCTCTGGTCCTGTGCCTCCCACTTCAACATGACCACAAAATGCTAGTCAGGAACCGAATGCCTGAGGACAAAACTGCATCCAAGCTGCTAGGACCAGTGTATATTTGGGGGTTTGCTTTCTGATATAAGTTTGGATGTTTACCAGAATTTCACCCAAGACTGCCTTTATTGTAACACACCATGAGAGAGGAAACATAAAGCTCTCCCCCACCTCTAACCACGGGGCTGCCTGTGTTTTCCAAAAAGTCCAGACAGCAACCATGGGACAGCGACCAGTGTGGACATGCTCATGAATGACTTCTCCTTCATCGCTGGACCCAGCATGGGGCCTGGGCTCCCTACAATGTGTGCTAACAGCTCCGAGTGGGATGGACCTTCGAGGCACAGTTTGGGCCCCTCGTTCCGAATCATACACTTTTAGATTCAGGATGAATGGACTCACCTGTGTAAATGCTGTCAGGGCGATTCTAGCAGAAGTTTATTTTGGGGGAAGTGAGAGAGGATATGAGAGAGTGTGGGGCCCCTCCCTCTAGAAATGCCACACGCTTGGGTTTCCACAGCCCAACTGCTGTGTGGAGTCTGCTGCCTAGAGCTATGCACGTGCTTGAGAAGCCAGAGTTGTGGCTGGCAGGTGCTGTGAATGTGTGGGGGCAACTGGGGAACGACGTCTCTGCAAATGTGAGTGAAAAATAATAGGGTGTCTGTTATTCTGTCTCCAGGGAGAAGTTGGGGAGCAGGGCCTGGCGGGCCGACCTGGAGAGAAGGTCTGTTTGTTCATACCTTCATTCATTCATTCATTCATTCATTCATTCTTCATTCAATGCATTCATTCATTATTATGCCCTAGGCCTGTATCCACTCTCCTCTGGGGGCTCACTACGTTCATCTCATGTAATCATTTACTTACCCAATGATTATCAGCATGTCTTATGCCTCCATCGCTGTGTTGGGGTCACAACCATCAACCAAGAGCCAGGGACAGGTGCAGTGAGTGGTGGCATGCAGGTGTGGGTGGGAGGGCAGGAGAGAGCTCCTCATTCAGACTTGGGGGATATCAGGAAAGGTGGAGAGGCAGTGATAATTGTCCTAAAGGATGAGGAGGAGGAGGAAACCCCCAGACAGGCAGAATGGGTTCCTGGTGAAGGAACGGCTGAAGTGAGAAAGAGCTTGGAGATGCCCCAGTGAGCAGAAATCTCTAGAATCGCTGCTTTCCGCGTCAGCCCCGCTGAGCTAGAGCTCTCTGGGGGCTGGAGAGCAGGAAGGGAAGAGCACACGGCGGGGGCGTGGCGTGGCCCACAGGAGAGCCTCCTCACCAAGAGCCCAGTGGACAGAGGCATCCTGTTGTTTCCACAGGGAGAGGCTGGTCTCCCGGGAGCTCCAGGATTCCCGGGCGTGAGGGGAGAGAAAGGAGAGCGGGTGAGTGGTGGCACTGTGCCCGTGCCCTCGCAAAGCAGCCCCCTCTGGGGTTCAGTCCCTGGGGCAATGGGTGGTCTGGGCTGGGGTTTGGGAGTATTTGGCCAGGTGTACGGAAGAGGAAGGGAAGGGGCTCAGGCTGCTCCGGTCTGTCTGCTGCAGCAAAGGGACAGGGACTGAGCGATCAGTCGGCAAGGGTGGAAGATCTCCAGATGAAGTGGATGGGAACGGGTGGGCGCATCATGTCAGGCGCCCGATGGGGAGGAGGTGCTTCACCCCTAACTGACGGCAAGCCCTTGGAGCTGCGCTTCACCTTGGCATTTACTGATAAGGCCAGAGAAGAGCAAGAGGAAAAAAAAGGGATTTTTGCCCGAGGTCCACTTGCTCTTATGTGCAAAAGGCAGGTGTTCTGGTGTATTCTAATTTCATCTTTCACCGCAGGGAGAGAAAGGCACACTGGGCCTCCCAGGACTGAAAGGTGACCCAGGTGAAAAGGTAGGAGTTGCTGTTGGCCTCCTGGTCATCAGGGGCCTGGATTGGCCAAGCCTCCCTCCTACGCCGTCTGTATGTGCGGTGCCTACAGGGCCGTGGAGAGGGTCTCGGTGTCTGAGTCAAAGCTGTGGCCTGGGTTACAGTCGGCTTCTACCTGCCAGGCGGCTCTCAGCCCCTTACCCCACCTCCCCGTGCTTTGGCTTGCTGCCTTGGAAATGGTTCCACTAGTCCTTCCTCCGAGGGCTGCTGGGAAGCATGACTCAGGTCCTGTGAGTAGAGTGAGTGCTGCAGACTCACGGTGTGCCAGGATGGCCGAAGCACCGCTCATGTAGTGACTTCGGTGATGCTCAGGACGACCCTGAGAGGGGTTGTGTTACCAATAGCATGCCCGCTTCATAGATAAAGAAACAATGAGGCACAGACAAGCCACATTGCTTTCCCAGGGGCACATGGATGGAGTGCACTGCAGTCAAGATCCAAACCCCAGCGGTGGGTCAGCTCAGTGTCCTGGCTCCAGCAGAGCTGTGCCTTGAGCTGGCCTGGCCCATGGGCACCTGAGCGTTGGCAGCGCACACCCCAAGGGGCTTGCCTCTCCCCTTCTCCTGCACGATGCTCCCCCTGCCTTCATCCCCCCATGTTTGCACAGTCTTCCCCTCCAATTCCCCGTTCTCGGTGCCCCCCCCACCCCTCCCGGTGTTTCTGGGCTCCAGGAGGGGCCTCGCACCAGCTTCTCTCTTGGGCTGGAGGCTGAGGGCTTTACTCTGGACAGACCTGCTATCTAGAAATGGAGAGCCAAAAATGGAAAGGGCTTTGTGTGGTAAGCTGCCCAGGCCTGTTGCCCTGGTGGATTTTTTGGAATTGCAATTTTCATTTGAGAAACTCATTTCCAGGATGCAAAGGGCTCCACAAGATCCTAAAGCCCCTTTTATTGCTTTGGCAGAACTGCTGGGCCCATGGCAGAATCACATTCAAGGTTCCAGAAAATCCGGCCTGCCTTTCTTTTCTCCAGAGAAATATGTAATAATAGACAAATCTGGTCAAAAATCCAAAATAGGACATTAAAGCAACATTGTCCCCTTCTGACTGTGTCTTGCACTTCCCTGTCTCCATTTCCCAGTTCATTCCTTCCCACCACTGGCTATGAACGTTTTTAGCCCTGTGGCATCTTGGAAAGTGGGTACAATCCTCTCCTTTCTCAGCAAGGGCTGCTGGGGATTCATGTTTTCGTGGAAGATCTGGGATCTGAACCCATCCTCTAGTGAACTCCAGAGCTCATAGGTCAGCAGCCGTCGGGGGTCTTCCCGACAACCCACCTGCGATTCCTGCCTCACCCCACAGCACTAGGGAGGGGCCGGCTCTACCCAAAAGGCAGGCTTTAGACTCTCTGGATTGGAGAGAAAACCTAGTCTCTTTGCCTGCCCTCTCCTCCTTAATACATATCCATACATTCACTAGTGTCAACACCAAATGAACAAACCTTTCTTTAAAATTTTTTAAAGAGAAAAGAGAAGAGTTTTATTTGAGCCCAAGTTAGGACAGCTGCCGAGATACACAATCTTCACAAAAAAGAGACTGCTACAGGGAAGAAACATTTGGGGCAGAATTATATATGATCATCAAGATGAAGGACATTCCAGAAAGTTACATACTTTATCTTTTGTTTTCAGTATGTGCAAGGCTGTATGACTTTCATCTTATGGGAACCAAGGAGGTTTTGTATTGTTTTTTTATCTTTACATTTGGAATGTTCCCTTTTGGTTATTCTATTTTATTTTTTTTAACGAGGTAGATGTACACTGTGTGCTGGGGCAGAAATAGAGTCTATGCTTTGAAGTTTTGCTGAGTCATTTTGACGTTGGTAAATGTCGGAGGATGGCTTCCCTGGGAGCCCAGGAGCAGGGCCCAGAGACCTGAAATGCTGAAAATTTCCTTTATCACCAGGAAGCACTCAACTTTGATTATTCAGACTTTTTAATGTGGGGTAAACTGGTTTAAATGAGATTGTTTCTGGAACATGAGGATGTCAGTGTCAGGAGGATAATTAGGTAAAATCGGGTAATGCAAATAACACTGAGAAAGTGTTTTCCTTTCTGAAAAAACTTCTGGAACTTCAGTGAAGGCAATGCTGCTTGGATTCGGAGTTTAAAACCAGGCTCAGCCATGTGCTGGCCATGACTTTGAGCAGGTAAATGAACGTTAGGCATCAGTGTCCTCATCTCTGAAATGGGTATCTGTGTTATAGCCATTTCTGTGGAGACTAAATGAGTTGATACGTATAAAAACACAACTCAGTAACTGGAATTAAATACTGTAGAAAAATAGAAATAAGATAGAAACAGTGTAACTATATTAATTTATTATTGTTGCTTACTAAGAGTGGCCTTGTCCCTTTCTAAGCCAGTTTTATTCATTCATTTGTTTACTAACCATGCATGGAAGGCCTTCAACAGACCTAACCCCGGGCCACTTGGAACACACGTGGGCACAGACATGCATGTCCTGGCATCCTGTGGCACACATGGAGTGGCAGGCTTTGGGGACCATGTCTGCTCCCTGTGGTTCCTCCTACATGGACAGCCCAGTGGCCCCCTTCCTTCAGGTCAAATGTATAACAGTTTCCTCCTTATTGGGCCCCTGCTGAAGATGATCTGTCAGTGTACCTGTGATACTGTGTACCTTTATCATTATTTTACAAAGAGGTAAACAAGCCCAATGAGGTAAAATAACGTATAAAATGTTAGATTGAGGTTGAAAGCTCAGGAGGCTTAACTCCCAGACTTGTGTTGTTTACAGGAATGTAGATTTGTCCTCTCAGTCCCCTGAGAAGAGCCCTTCCCCTCCACTTGGGCTGGGACAGGACCCATGGAGTCTGTAAGGGAGCTCCCGTCTTTGTGCCCAAGGGCGCAGAGCGGGGATGTTTGCTACATCATTAGTAAGCAAGAACTAGGTGTCGTCAACAAGAAGGTGGATAATGGATCACTCTATTTCCATATTCACAGTGGACTAGTGTAGAGTGATATAAAGGATCTATGGCTAGCCATATTAGCATAAATAATTCTCAAAACATAAGGTTTCTTATGTCTGAAATATTTTATAATTCAGAATCTCTCTGTCTATCTGTCTGTCAAAGTAGATACTGGCTGGGTGATTCTGTTGTCTGGGGAAAGGTGTCCCAGGATAAGCAGAGTTGGCAGGAAGATTAATGATCTTTTATGTTCCGTTTTTTCATCTAGGGTGAAGCTGGTCCTGCAGGCCCCCCTGGATTACCCGGAACTGTAAGTTACTCTGCTTCTTATCCTCATTTTTTCTTTGAATCCCTCAGGCATTGGGTAGCTCCCTTCCTCCCATACCAGTTAGTTATAAACATCTTTTTAATGGAGATCGTCAGTAGCTAGGCCTATTCCTAGGTCTTGTGATCCAGAAATACATAAGCTTCTTTAAGAACCACCTTGTGCTTATTGATTTATTTTATGCAGCAAGCATACTTACTATTTATCAGAACATTGGCTAGACACAGTATGTCCCCACCTGTTACATGTGGGGAAACTGAGGTCCAGAGACAAGAAACAGGGGGACACTTCGTCCAGAGTAGGACTGCAAAATGGGTATATAACCAGGACTCATGCTTCCACCCAGTCACTGTACTTGGTGTTGAGTAGTGAGTAAGACCATGGGCTTCAGAGCCAGAAAAAAGTGGGTTTGAGTTTCTGAGTCTCTGCTCTGCCATCCACCAGCACTGTGGTCTTAGATACATTGTTTAATTTCAAAGACCCCATCTTTTCATCTGTTAAGAAAAACTATTATACCCAGCTATCTTGTACATTTCTAGCAAAAATTAACTGAGATCATAACAGGTATGTAGTCCAGTTTCTGGTACATAATAAACAGTAAATTAAAAATGACTGCTATATAAAGGGGAGCATATTTTGGTTTATTTTTTTTTTTTTCATTTTAATGTTTCTTCCCAGCCTTAATATTCTGTGCTTTGACCAGTTGATTTCAGGGAAATTGAACATGTCTTCATTGCTGGCTTTGGTTGGGCAAATATGGAGGCCAGGAGTTGAAAGCCTGAACACCCAGAAATCCCATTTACAGCGTGACAAAGAATCTTAGTCTGTGGTTTTTATGTACGTTAAATCATTATTCCACAGCTCGATCTCTTCCCCATACGCATGCCTATCGAAATAAGACTCAACCGTTCTATAAGGATGTCAGAAGAATTTCAGAATCAAATTAAGAGTCGGAACCATTCGTATAAAACTTTGTGTAATACTGGAAACATCTTATGTTGGGAAGCATGCAGGGAAATGAGCACTGTTATTTAGTGTGAGGGCAAATCAGTAACACTGAATTGAGAAGTTCCTCAGTAGTCACATATAAAGTATGTACATGTTAGCTTAGAAATTTCATTCCCAGGTATCTATCCCAGAGAAATATTTACACTGTGTGTATTTGAAAAAGCATGTACAAGGATGTACATTGTAGTTTTGTGTATAATGAAATATTATAGGCAACCCACATGACATAAGCATAGAATTAAGTAAACCACAGAATATCCATGTCATGGAATCCTAGTTTATAAAAATACACACATGTGCATATGCACACACACGTACACACACACAATGTATGTGGCCTTGGAAAGGTACCGATGCTCAGGAAAGATGCATAGAGAAACCAGCATGGCCTCCAGGGCCCACCCAGGTGGGGCTGGTTCCTACTGCACACTCACTAGTGGTGGGGGCTTCGTTAAGCGCTTTACCTGCCTCCAATTTTCTTATCCATGATGCAGGGAATATAGATGATCTACTTCTTTGTTATTGTGAAGAATATGGGGGTTTATTCATATAAGGATGAATAGCTATGTGCTTGCTGGTGGTATTTGTGTAATTCTTGTACAAAGTCATGTGTTTCTATACATTCATAATTATGTGGAAATATATAGAAAAATTTACTAAACTGAAAAACAGTGGTTTCTTCTGGAGAAGAGACAAGTATTGGGGGACTTGGAAGGCAAGGTGTATTTGAAAAACTTGTTTTTATCCTTCTATTTTGACTTCATGGTGTTTTTGGACTAGAATCCATGATGTCCTTTGGCCCATTCACTTATTTTTTTGAACACCTGCCGTGAGCCAGGCACTGGCAGGGTTTGGGAGCCCTGGAGCTTCAGCCTAGTAGGGGAGGCAGACTCTAGTCACCTGGTGGCCCTGATACACATATGTGACAAATTATAGTGAATGCCACCAGAGGAAAGAACAGGGTTCAATCAGGGAGAATGACAAGGGGACCTAATTTATATTTGAGTGGTGGAGAAGAAAGGTGAGGTCTTTGAAGACATGATATTGAAAAAAGGCCTGAAGGATGGACCATAGTCAGCTGGATAAAGGGAGGAGGAGAGCACGTTCCCGGCTGGAGGAGTGGCAGGGGCAGACGTCCTGTGGCCTGAGAAGCCTTGAAGTCTGCGACACGCTAACTGCGGCATGAACGTGGGGTGGGGCTGGAGGGCCACACAGGGGCCAGCCCACGGCGCTCTATGTGCTGGGATAAAGAGTTTTGCGTAAGTTGGCTCCTGGTGCCCAGGGCGCACCTCCCCTGGTTTCCTCCTCGTGTACATCATCGCCAGTGGATGCTGGTGGTGGTGGATGCTGGTGGAGGGCCCGGGGTCCCAGGCTCTGATTACTTGCACGGCCTCTCCATTTCAGCTCACAGCACCCCGGGTAGAGGAGTTTTCCGCCCCACTTTAACAGTGAGGGAATAGAAGCTGACAGGTGGTCACACAGTTTTTTTTTTGGCGGTGTGAAACTCCAGGGTCCCCCATCTACCCACAGTGCTTTTCTGCCCTGCCTCGACCTCAGCTCAGGGACTGGAGAGCAATCAGTCACGGTGCCTGTTCACATTAACAGTCACTCCAGGAAGCCCTGGGGCCCCCTTCTCCCACTTGATCTGTCTCTTAGAGGCAGGTTGTAACAGTCAAGTCACGCTTTTCTCATTTCTGTGGTTTCCTTTTCAGACGTCCCTGTTCACACCACACTCAAGGATGCCAGTAAGTAGCTACGGCCCCTCAGGGCTGCAGGTGGCTCCCAGCCAGGCCCACGATGCCTGCGTGCTCCAGGTCCTGACTTGGCCCCACCACGCGGGGCTTCCCAGTGGCTGTACTTCCAGATCTGTCCTGGCAGCCAGGGTGGGGTGGTGAGGACAGGCCCTGCAAGGACCTGGCTCCAGTGTCAGGCAGGCGGTCCAGCGGCCTGGAGGTCACCTCCTGCAGGCTGAGGGCAAGGGCCAGCCCTCTCTTTGGGGGGAGTTGGTTCTCCGCTGCACGAAAAGCTGGTGGTCTCGAGGAGAACAGGGCTGTGTGCTGTGGCGGGCAACTGAAGAATCCCATGGAGCATTACTGAGGATGTGGGCTGTGAAGGGGACCCGGAGACTGAAGCGCATCGGGGGTGGGGCCCTGGGTCTAAGAGGGGCTGTTCTGAGAGTAGACAGTGGAGACCTGGCCAGCTTCGGGGTTGGCGGTGGAGGGAGCTCTTGGGGCTTCTCGTGAAGACCGACCCTTGACAGACGAGGAGGCTCACCATCACTGCAACCGCTAGGAAGCTTTTCCTCCATTAGCGAAAGTCGCTTGGGGAAGAAGTGTTTCCGGGCTCTCCTCTTGCTGTCAACAGCACTGAAGCCAGGGGCATGTGCTTGCTGTTCCCCTTTGCTCTCAGGATGCGCTTCTCACTGCTCCGGGCCACACAGCTGCTGAGAGCCTGCAGACGTTGTGTTTCCGTAGTTGCTTTCTCCTTGTGCTCGGTGTTAACTAGTTATACATAAGAAGCTGCAGTGAATCCTGTTTTTGATGGGAAAGTTGGGAGCAGGGGGATTGAGCCAGGATCTCCTCTGCTGAGATCCTGGTAGAAGGAGAAGCCCTTTGAGCTTCTCCAGAGGTGAGATGGGGAGGAGTGGTGGTGGACGGGGTGTCACTGGGCGGCGTGGACTTCAGAAGTTGTTGGGAGTTGCCTTTTGGAGAGAACAGATTTGTGTGGCTCTGGCTGTGTCCCCTACTTTCCGACAAAAAAGGATTCAAAGGGACAGAGCAGGAGAGCATCCCACATGGCAGGTGCCAGGAAGGCAGCGCGGGGTGTCCCTGAGGGATGCAGATGTGCCCTCATTTCACAGATGATGCCTTGTGGGTCAGAGAAGCTAAGCAAGTTGCAGAGGGCCTGCCTTGGAGATAGGAACTGAGGTGGAGTTGTCAGCTGTAAGGCTGTGACTGGCCAGAGCGGCTGTCCCCACCTGCTACTGAGACTCGGCTTACCCAGATGGTAGCCACTCATATCACGCTACCTCACGTTGCCTCCCTCCCCTCTGTCCTCTGGGTCTCCCTCCCACGGGCCCACCCTGAGCTCCTTGAGCTGGAGATCAGCCTACAGGACCAGCCTCTCCTTAAAGGAATTGCTCCATTAAAGATGATTTCCAAGGCATTCCGGTTAGAAAGCTCATGACGGGGAGCCGGGGTCTGCCAAGCTTCCCCTTTGTCCCCCAATGGGGACACTTCCTGCAGGGTCTGAGATTTCTGGAAACCAGGAAGCCACTGACTTCAGGTTGCAAAGTGAGGAAATTGTGTCTATGAAAAAAAAAAAAAGATTCATTGTGGATTATTGCATGTATCTTTCTGGACTGGCCTCGTCACCATGGTAACTGTATTTTTATTGATGGTTTGGAAAAGTGTTCTTTGACATCTTGCTCTCCGGAGGCCCGCTCCTTTGAGTCCCTGCACAGGGAACGGGTGGCAAAGTTCGGGGCATAATGAAGCAAGGAAACAGAGCAGGGCAGGAGGCCTGGAAGGAAAAGCCCACCTCCCTCTGCCTGGAGATGGAGAAGTCTGCTGGGGCTGGCTGCGGACCACGCCTGGGGAGGACTTGAAGCAGTGTGCAGGTCTGGAGGGGGGATCCAGGCCTTCGCTGGAGGAAGGAGGGACAAGCAGCCTGGGGCTGGGGAAAATTGCAGCTAAGAACTCAGAGGGCCTTTGCGACTGGAGGGGGTTGGCTAGAAGGTGGTGCAGAAGCAGTTATCTGGGGAAGGGTCCAAGGCAGCCTTACTCTGCCACCTCAGCCTGCAAAGGAATCTTCAGGTTGCCAATCAGAGCTTGAGTTTGCTGGGATGACACTGAGTGCAGAGAGGGTGTTGATGTGGCTGACCTCACCAGTCGGGGGAGTCAGGAAGAGAAGCCAGTCGCACCCATGCATTCAGTGATGATTGATGAGCACCCACTATGTGCTCCCGGAGTGAAGGCTCTGCCTCCCCACTGACTCCCAGGCCCTGGGCTGGAAATGGCTGGAGCACCTTGCCTGTGAGCCCCCAGAGGTCCCTCCTCTGGCCTGGCCTGACCACTCGTGGGTCCTGAGCCTATCTTCCTGCCACCTACAGTCCCTTGCCCCAGTGCATCACCCAAGATAATCCCGTAACCCTTTTGTCTTTATGGGTTGTATGGCCAGTGACTAGAGGACCAAAGAGTTTGGAAAATCCCCCCGGGGAAAGTTTCCTAGGAGGAAAATGTGCTGGGAGAAAGGTGTTGCTGTCCCTGGTGAATGGAGCCAGAGTGTGTTCTGAGCTGGTTTGCAATGGAGCCTCTACAGGAAAGAGTGAGGTCACCCCTGTGTTGGTGCTGCAGGGCATTTGCTAGAGCAATCTCAGTGAGTCTTAGCCACAGCTCCCCGAGGTAGACCATGCAGACTGCGTGTGACACACGATGCAGACAGAGAAAACCAGCCAGGGCCACGCAGATGCTAACTGGGGGACCCACCTGTCACTCGGGACAGGTGGGCAGGCGGGAACCTCTGGGGCAAGGTCTCCCGAGTCTGCCTGTGCATGGGGAGAGAAAGCAGCCTGTCCACCAGTGTCTCCTGCCACTAGCCTGCCCCAGGCTCCCTAACGCACATGTTAGAGTTTGCCTTCTAGATGATTCCAGGGTCCTCTCTAGGCCTCCCGGTCTCAGAAGCCTGCGCTTTCAAAACCCTGCCTTTGCAGGTCTCCCTTCTCCACTTCAGGCAGCGCTCATCCCATCTCTCCCAGGACCTTCCTGCAGATGGGGTGCCTAGTGTCTCCCTAAACAGGCCGTGGCACTCTCGGACAGCTCTAGGTCCTGCTCCTATAGAAGGAGCCATGCACGGCCCTTCTGATGCACAGGCTTCCGTGGTTACCCTGGTCTCCCCAGAGAGCTCCACAGACCCACCCCCACTCTCCCCTTTGGGGCTCATCTCTGCTGCCCCTTCTCTGTGTCACTGAATCCTCATGCTGCGTGCAAGACAAAACACCTGTTCATTTTGCAGCTGTGGTCACAGAAGACACTGTGGCTAAATACTTCACCCAAGGTTATAGAGCCAGCTCACTGGAGAAGCCGAGTTCTAGGTCAGTTCCTATGGATCTAGAGCTGTTCACTCTGGTCCACTGTCTCCACCCCTCTCCCACGATGGCCCTTCAGCTCTTGAAAGATAGAGGCCTAAGCCCTTTCAGGTCTGCCCCTGATGGAGCCTCCTATCTGCCCACCTTCTCCCTGTCACTTGTGAAGAGCAGGGTGAGGCCCTCTTGTCTCTCTACGCCTCCTGGGAGGTGTGTTGGGAGTCCTGGATGTGATAGCAGCAGATCAGGAGAATGGCCTGTCTCTTCCCAACATTAGATTGTTCCATTCTGGGCAGCTCCCAATGTGGCACCCCTTTTCCTGCCTGTGGCCCATCTCTTCTTTAGCAAAATTAGACACCCCAGTCTGGCCACCAAGAGTGCAGCATTCAGTCTCCAGTCTGCCAGATCCCTCAAGCAAAGCCCTTTCCCCAGCTTCTTCATCAAGACAAGGAAGGGGAGAGCTCGGAGTCTGAGAAAAGTCTCTCCCCTCAACATTCCTTCCATCATTATTCGTTGATGATCGGCGCTTGCGGGCCTCGGGGCTGAAGGGGGTGGGAGTCGAACCCAAACCGTACAAATAAGGGTAAAACTGCTGTGGGTCAAGTGTGTGGAGGACATGGGGCAGGACAGGGCAGGACAGGACAGCATCGCGCTGCCATGCAAGTCCCCGAGTTTGGGGTCAGCTTCCCTGCAGAAGCGATTCTTGGTCTTAGATTTGAAGGATGAGTAAGAATCATCAGAGTCCAAGGGGGTCACAGGGGAGAGGCTGAGGGAGCAGCCTTGCTAATGGGTCGGGCGCAAAGGGCGGGGCGGGGTGGGGGCAGTGTGGCGGATCTGTGGGCGGGGCAGGGTATGTCCACTATACTCTGTGCTTCTCTAACAGGGAGAACAAGGGCCAAAAGGAGAGAAGGGTGATCCCGGCGTGCCTGGGGAACCGGTGAGTGCCCTGCACCCCGCACCCCATGCCCTTCAGCCTGTGCATTGGTTACAGGGCGTCCAAGGGCCGCGTGGTGGCAGGTCTGAACTGTACGATCTACCCACAGGATCCCCGCTAACTGAATGCAGCTCCTCCCTCCTTCCTCGGGGCTCCGAGGATGTCCTCACCGTGGATCCCAAATCAGACCCGTTGCATGTGTCCTTGCCCCACTCCCCTCTGCTAAGAGCTAAGGTGATGACTTAGTTCCTTGACGGTTGTTGCGTTGCAGGGATCCCAGGGCCATCCTGGAGAACTGGGGCCTCGGGGACCCACTGGAGCGCCGGTAAGAAGCCCTGTCTCCACCTGTGGGCTCTGAGGTGCAGGAATCCCCAGCAGCCCCCCTGTCCCTCCCTGTCCCCACTGGTCAGTGTGCCTGGCATTTGGGGGCTACCCACCAGGGGGCGCTGCCATAGGTGCCGTGAGCCCAACGCCCTAGGGCTGAAGGCCCTCACAAGGCACCCCCAGAACGCAGCCCTGGGGTGGGTGCTGCCTCTGGACCCCTGGATGGGAAACGATGCTAGAGCACAGGGCGGTTCAGATGCAGGAATGCCCTCCTTCCCAGCTCTGATTGGCAGCTCTGGTATAAGGGACCCTGGTGCGGTTTAGCATTTTGATTTTGTTGTCATTTTTCTCTGCTGGGGCTTCTTAGAAACTGCCTCTCTCAGGCACGTTCTCTGGAGAGGTCCTTTTGGAGTGACCTGTGGGGACTCAGACCCCAGGGGGGCGCTGGCTGGCTCTATGGGCCTGGGCCGTCCTGTCCCTGTGAGCCCCATTTATCTAATGATGTCTCAGCGCTAACACCCCGGGGGTGGTGAGGACGGGACGAGATAACAGGCCGAGCCCCGTGGCCAGGGGGTGTGATTTCTGCGTGCTTCGGACTCTGCCCCCGTCCTGCCGTTTGCATCCCCTGACTCTGATGAGCAGGCTGTCCCCAAGATGGCCCTGCATGGGGACGTGGGCAGCTTCCCCAAGATGTCTCACCTCCCCCTTTGTGTCCCGGGCAGGGTGCCAAGGGACAAGAAGGCCCACGTGGGGCACCTGGAACAGCTGGAAACCCTGTGAGTCCTCATGCCCCACGTGCCTCCTGGGGGCCGCGGAGGGAGGCTGGGCCGGGCACGTGCCCCTGGGCTCACGGCTCAGGGCCGATGGGAGGGATGGGCGGAGCGCTCGGCCAGGCTGGGCGCCCCTGGAGCAGCGAGGACCAGGAGAGACATCCTGGTCTCTGCAACATTCCCAGCCTTTCAGGGCTTTGTCCACATGCCCAGCCCACAGACGGAGTGTCCTTCCACACGCATGGGGGTGAAGCACACAGGGACACGCCAGCACCCACTCACACATACACGTGCTCTAAAACCAGCCTGCACACATACAGTGATGCACACACCCCTATAGAAACTCCCAGCACACGGGGCAGCTAGGGACACGGGCAGATAGGTGCCTTCATGCACACGCCTCCTGAGTTCTGCGCCGCTCTGCCTCACCTCCTGTGGGGCCAGAATCTCCGTGGGGTGAGCACTGGACCCTGGGGCTGATGGAGTGAAGTGTCCTGGTGCAGGGCCGCAGAGCTCAGGCTCCCGTGTGGCGCTGGTGGAATGAGGCCACCTCCACAGCGGCTCTGTGTGAAGCAGTGGTGGTAGTTAGAGGTCCTGGACCGTGGGTTAGAGGCCCTCGGCTGGAGGGCACTTGCACACCCAGGTCATCTGTGCCTGTGGTGGAGTGGGAATGGGGTCAGCCGAGACAATGACCGACGTGGATGTCACAGGGCGGGGGCAGATGGCAGGCTCCTCCTGGCTAGTAGAGAGAGAGAGCCCTGGGCGGAGGGCAGCCTGCAGGGCAGTGAAGCCGAGTGCAGGCACGGACGCCTGGGAGAAACACGAGTAGCCTCCAGCCCTTGGGGAGTTCCCTGCTTCCCATCTCCATGGGTGTTGACCCCCATGCCTCCTCCCGTGGAATCTTTGTTAACCATCAGTGTTGCGTTCAAGTCCACTTCCTCCAGGAAGCATTCCCTGATTCATCTGTCAAAGTCAACACATAGGCATGTACACACTCACACACGCACGTAAGTGCACACGCACACACCGCCTCTGCCACCTCCATGCCTTGGTCTTAAGGAACTTCCAAGAGCCCTTCTGTCCTCCTGTCTCCCACGTCTGTCCCAGCATCCCACCTACCGGAGGTCTGGCCGGCTGGGCGCCACCGCATACGCACGGGAGGAGGCTCACCTTGCCCGTGGAGGGAACGTCAGGTTGGAAGTAGCAAGCTACAGTGAACTGAGGAGAAGGCAGTTTTGGAGAGACTCTGGGGTAACTGTTTGTCATCGATACATTGGGCCTTTCTAAAGTTCTGCTTCTGAATAGGGCAGTCCTGGAACTGCGGGCCCACCTGGTGCCGGCGGCCCCCCAGGAAGTGCGGTGAGTAATGGGGGGGCCGGACACCAGTGCCGCTTGCAGATCCACAGCCCCCCCCCCAGGTTAACATGTTTATTCTCCTCCCTGAAGCCGGGGGGGTGTGTAGGCACAGGCAATCCTTGCTCCCATTTGACAGCTGGAGAAATGGGCGTCCCAGACAAGGTCACCTAGAAAGTTCACCAGCCTAAGGCTCGAGGTCACTCATCAGACCTCCAAGTGGGAAACAAAACTGTGAGAACTGCAGAAAACTGCAGAAAGCCTGTAAACGTCGGGGATGTTGGGGTCAGCCTCCGAGTTTGCCTTTCGAAGAGACAGGACAAACCTAAAGGATTCACAGGGGTCCCGACCCTTAGGGTCCCTGGATGCTGATCATTACACATGGCAGCATCTCTTCTAAGAACTTTGCGTGCATTAATTCATGGAATCCCCTTGACCTGGGAGGTGATTTTTCTCACTGCTTCCATTCTACCCAAGAGGAAAAGCAGACACAGGGAGACTGAGTCATGTCCTTAGTGGTCGCCAGAGATGGTGCTGGAACATGGCCTATGTCTCGTCACTCTCCCTGCTTCTCCCGTTGGAGGTGCCTGCCAACCCTGCGTTCCTTTGCCTGAGGGTTTTCTCCGGCTTTCGGAGACCACATTGTCCAGCTATAGGACACATGGTGATGAGCATGAGCCCGAGCTGCCGGCTGCGTAAACCCCTGGCTCCTTCACGCGGGCAGCCCCGGAGGGCGCGTCCTGAACTAGCTCCGAGAGCACCTGCAGAGCTGGGCTCCAGCTGCACCCATGTGGACTGTCGCCGTCCTCCCCTTTCTCACTGCTTTGTTTCCCTCCTGGGGTATCCCTGGGCCACTTGCACTTAAGCCTTGGCTCCAAGTCAAGCCCCAGGTGATGTCAAGGGCATGGGGTGGAGCAGGTCCCTGATGCGGAGCCTGTGTTCCTAGGTCACCCTCATCCTCCCTCGTGTCCAGTGGAGGCTGGGCCCTGCCCTCTGAGAGCCACTGCCTGGGGCGGGGCAGACCGCCAGGCAGGGCAGGCTCGGCACAGGGGCATGTGAGCAGACAGGGAGGGGCCATGCGGGCAGGCGGGGAGGAGAGGGCCCCCCCTGGGGAATTAAGTCAGGGATGGGGAGCCCATGGGGACAGACAGTAGCCTTGGCTATGAGGGTGTAGGGTCACCTTTCTCTGGGGGCCACGGGCCATCTTGAACTTATTATGTGCATAACCTGCATTTTTTCAGGGCTCCCCTGGCATCAGAGGGCCCCCTGGGAAAGACGGGGAGCGTGGAGAGAAGGTAAGACGTGGCTGCTCTCAGCATGCGGCGTCTGTACTCTGCTTCTTGAGAAGCCGTGGAGGCGGAGGCCCAGCCGCTCGGGCCTGGGTTCAGGCGCCGGGGTCTGAAGGGGCTTTCTAGGTAGAGGAGAGAGAAGGCCGTGCAGCCACCTCTGGGAGGCTCCCAGCAGACCTGAGTCATACAGATCCCTAGGGAACAGATGGGGGCTCGAGGAGGCTCTGGGAAAGGAGGTGACGCGCCCCATCTCGCATAGCAGAGCTTGACTCCAAGCCCCACTTTCTCTCGATTTGGTGCACCAGCGTATCCATCCCACACCTCTGTGTGCACCCTGAAGCCTTCCCAAGTTTGAGAAAGAGTTTCGTTTATTAGAGGGAGGAGAGACATGGTATCTCCACAGAACACCAACGCCCCAGAGGTAGGGGAGGAAGGTCCCCAGTCCTGTTTCACCTGCATTTCAGAAAGTGAAAGTGTCTCTGGGGTTTATTGCTGAGGGCCTGCTACTGGCTTCCAGTGGGTAGAACCCGGGGTTCTGCCAACAATCTCACACTCACAGGACAGCAACCCCCCACCACAATCCCCCCAAATGTCAGTGTGCTGGTGTGGAGACGCCTGACGTCTGTAACGTGAGGACAATGACATGTCAGTGGCAGGTTGTAAAGATGAAGTGCAGAACTGACCCATCAGAGGGCTCAGCAGGGGGCCGGGGAGGAGATCTGCTGCCCCATCTCCCTCCGCGAGCAGTGTCCCGTCCCCAGACATCCTCCACCTGGCAGACGGTCCACCGGAGCCCCTTTAAGTGCAGGTCCCTCAATGTCCTGCTAGGAATACCTTCAAGTCCACTTTAGCCAGAACCTTTTAAAGGAGAGATCATTTTGTCCTTTCTATTTTGGCAGAATTTAACAAGAATAGATGGTACATTTGCATTTTGGCAGGGAGGCTGGATTTTAAAATACATGTCTCAGATAAAAATGGTTTAGCGTGGAGGAAAATGATCAGCCAACCTATAGGACATATCCTGAGGTTTTTTGGAGTGCTGTTGATGATAAGCCCAATAATAACCCTTATGTGGTGCAAGTGCTAATTTTTGTTTTGAAAGAAGATAATGCCATCGTAGATTACAGTAATAAAAGTAGAGCACCCAGAGGAAGCCAGGGGAAAAAATAACCCTGGCCCATCTGCTTTGCCTTGATTATACCACGTCTGAAGATTGCACTCTATTCTGGACACACAGTAAGTAGGGCACTGATGACCTTAGAAACGGGTGACCAAGATGCTGGAGGTTTTGAGGTCCGGTTGAGAGCCAAGAGGAGGAAATCAGTGAGCTGTTGGCATATCCACCACTAGAGGGAGCCAGACACCCCTCCTTGGCTGTGCAAGAGCCTGGGTAAGGGCCCAAAGCCAGGGCTGCGTTGGGAGGGGATCCCCAGGATGCTCTGCAAAGTGGTCAGAAGCCCAGCTGCTAGGGCAGGCTCTTTCTCTCTCTCCGGGTGTCCAGTGGCTGGCCCGAGGCTCAGGGAAGCCGATCCTGCCCTAGGCTTGCAGAGAGGGGCCCTTGCTTTCCCAGCCCTTGCTCTTTATCGCACCTTCTCTCCAGCAAGGAATGTCTATAGGCATTCACGCTGTAGCTCAGCCCCCAGGGAGCCCTGCCCAGGAAGAGGAGCCCCTGTGGCTCATGTGGTTTCACCCAAGCTCCACAGCCAGGGCTGCCACATGGAGCTCTAGACTTTGTGGTCCAAATGTGAGCATTTGTGAAGAGCAGCTCCCTCCCTCCTCAGGTCCTGGAAGCTCTCTGTCTCTGGTGTTTCTCTCATCCCCCCACTCTGGAGCCCTGAGCTGTGTTCCTATTGCTGGAGGCCTACCCTGTAAAGAGGGGTTAGATTCTGTCCACGGAACTCCAAGGTTGAGTGTCACATGTCTGGAAGATTCCAGAAAGGGCAGTCTTGGCTGAATGGAAAGAAACAGTGTGTAGCAGGGCTGCCTGATAAAGGAATAAGGCCTAGCAAGGTGATGAGCTCTCTGCTCTTGGAGGAATTCAAGCAGAAATGGGAGGACCTCCCACAAGAGATGCACCTGATGCTTCTTGCACAGGGTAGGCGACTGGACTATAAAAGCACTAATATCCTGCCCATTCCCACGTTCTGCCTTGTATCAGCTTGCCAAGTCTGCTGTGACAAATATCACTCACTAGGTGGCTTAAACAACAGAAATGCATTGCCTGACGTTTCTCACCATATCCAGAAGTCCTAAATCAAGGTGTCATCAGGGCTGGTTCCTCCTGAGGGCCATGAGGGAAGCATCTCTTCAGAACCCTCTCGTTGGCTTATTGATGACTGCCTCCCCCCTGTGTCTTCACACTCTCTTCCCTCTGTACCTGCCTGTGTCCAAATTTCCCCTTCTTACGAGGACACTAGTCATACTGGATTAGGGACCACTTCAACCTAACAACGAATTGCATCTGCGAAGATCCTGTTTCTCAGCTGAGGTGTGGGGGATTAGGACTTCAGCATACATATTTGGGGGGACCCAGGCCAACTTACACACATTGTGTAGAACAGTCAGAGCATCACCGGGAAGCCTCCTGACCCCTTCAGGCTGGTTCACCATTGAGAAGCTTACCTTCTGCATGTCACTGATCCTGGAAACTGTCCCCTTTTCTTTCCAGGGAGTGGCAGGTGAAGAAGGGAGTCCAGGACCAGCTGGTCCCAGGGGTGATCCCGGGGCTCCCGGGCTCCCTGGAGCACCTGGAGCACCTGGAGCACCTGGACAGGGAAAGGACGGAGAGCCGGTAAGTGTCAGGTCCAGAGGTTTCTGTGTTCATTCGACCAGGCTAGAAATAGAAAAGAAAAGGAAAGGAAACAAAAAAAAAGAGAGAGAGAAACTGGCTGACCTCCCAAGGATTAAGTGAGAGAATATGCATAAATCCATAGGATGTGGCACTGGGTGAGCGTTTATTATGTTAACTACGGTATCAGGCACTAAACACCATACATTTAATCTCACAACTACCCTGAGAAGTGAGTACTTTTTTTTAGTCCATTCAGGCGCCTATAACAAAATACCATAGATTAGTGGCTCTAAACAACAGAAACTTAGTTCTCACAGTTGTGGAGGCTGGGTGTCCAAGGTCAGGGTGTCTGCATGGTCAAGGTCAGGGCGTCTGCATGGTCAAGTTCAGGTGAAGGCCCTGTTCTGGGTTACAGAATGCCCCCCTCTCACTATGTCCTCACAGGATGGAGGGGTGAGTGGTCTCTCTGGAGTCTCTCTTACAGGGACAGGAATCCCATTCACAAGGGCCCTATCTCCTAATATCTTCACTTGGGCCTTAGGATTTAACTTACGAATCTGGGAGGGAAACAAGCATTCAGAACAAGGCAGTATTATCAACCCCATATTACTGAGGGGGAATATGAGGTTTGGGGAGGTGAATCACTTGCCAAAGTCACAGAGCTTGGCTGCGAACCCACAAGGGACTGGACCATCTCTTCTTCCTTCACCCTGGCTTTCAGCCAATAAAATCAAATGTAGAATTGTGATTTTTTAAAATCTGGCCATGCGTCTGCATCAAGCAAAGCCCTTCAGCCTGAAGTTGAAGACTCTTCTCATTGGCTCCCCCAGGTCTTGATATCATGGGAAATGAGGAAGGGACCAGGCTCCAGAATCCATGAGCTCTCCTTTGAAGCCTGGCCCTCCCATGTTTGCGGGAGCCTGTGGTAGAAGACCGTAAGTGGGAAAGAAAGCTAAGAGACACAGGGGTTTGCTCAGGGTCACATGGAGCCAGTAGGCGGCCGAGGCAGAACTCACACATAGGAGACTTGTAGCTCAAAAACTGTGCTTTCTTGTGTAACAACAGGCCACGGTGAGATCCTTGTCTTCCTCGGGCCCACAGCATAGGACGCACACAGCTTGGCTTGTGGTGGATGGGTAAATGCGCATTCGTGGTCTCATCGTTGTCCTTGTATCCTTCATTTCCCCAGGGGCTTCGTGGGCCACCTGGATTACCTGGACCTCTAGGAATCAAGGTGAGTGTGTATCCAAGCAAATCGTGATGTCATGGGTTGGCCTGAAATAAGGAACAGGCCCAGTTTCATTGTAAACCATCTCTGGCCACTCCAGTCCACTTCCCTGTTCCGCAGTTTATCACATTCGGCTTAACTAGAGACTCGAGGGCTCTGAACGGTGATCCTGGTGATCCTGAAGTCATTGCCATAGAGTTGGCACCTAATAAATGCTTGCTGGTAAATGAAGTTGCAGAAGACACTGGTCTTTACCTGGCAGAGCAATAGATCTAAGCAATTTTGTGTTTTTAGTCAATCGTGGTAACATGATCCCCAAATTTCAGATGTTTAACACACTAAACTTTTACGTGTCATTCCCAGTAAGCCTACTGGGAGTCGTGGTGGGTGGAGAGCTCAGACCCACACAGCCACCTCAGTCCAGTGACTGTCCCACCATCTAGGACCCGAGTCTGCTACCAATCCTTGGTGTGCAATGGAAAATGAGGGAAAGACAGTGGACAGACTGTGGGCCAGACCTGGAGGTGGCAATTCATTTCCCCCAAGCTCTCAACACTGCCAACAGGGGAAACTGAGTTTGTGAGCTAGCTCTGTGCCCAGGGGTGAAAGGGGGAAGCTTTGGTAAATACCTGTCATCTCACCCTCAATTCACTTGCAACCATAACTCAGAAAAGCTGACTTGGCCCAAGAGGGACTGTTCCTTTTTTTTTTTTTTTTTAAGATAAAAAAAAATTCACTTGAGAGAGAGAGAGCATGAGCAGGGGGGTAGTGGGAGAGGGAGAAGCAGACTCCCCACTGCGCAGGGAGCCTGATGCGGGGCTCTATCCTAGGACTCCGGGATCATGACCTGAGCCGAAGGCAGGCCTTAGCTGACTGAGCCACCCAGGTGCCCCCAGCAGGGACAGTTCTTAGGAGAGCTTTCCTGAGTGACCAGGGACTCTTCCCGGGAATGAAGTTACCTTTACATGGAGTCGTTCACTCATGGACTCATTTATGCTCCGATCACCAGTGAATGCATTTATGATTGCATCTGCTGCCCATCTACTAGGCTGCCACGTGTCAGACCTTGAGGTGGGTTATGGGACAACACTGATGTATGGGACATGTTCCCAGCCCTCCAACAGCTCAGGGACCAGAGGGAAAAACAGATAAAGGAGTCGACAGAAGCAGACAAGTGCTAGGGTAGAGAGAAGCTTAAGGCATGAGTAAGCTTGGAGGAGGCTCCCCAGCCCAGCCTGGTTTGACTGTGGAAGGCTTCTTGGAGGAGGCGATTTTTATCCTGATTTTAAAGTGCATGCAGCATTTGGAAGGGGAAGAGATGAGGAAGGGGTTCTCTGCAGGGGTACTAACACAGGAGGAGACACCGAGGCAGGACGTGGAATGTGTTCAGAGACAAGCACATACTGTGAGCGCACCCACATCCAATGAAACATGATTTAACCATCTCAGTTGCTTGAACTTAAGAATGTGGGTCAGTCCATTGCTGATGGACATTGGAATGTTTATATATATTTTTGCTTTAATTTAACATGTATATTTAAAATCACATTAAAATGTTGTATCATTATATTACTTTTTGCCCACTTGCATGTATTTATGAAAACAGTTTTTAAAAATTCTTCTTGTGTGGCTTCAGTCCCATTGCCTGCCAGCCCCAGAGCCACTTTCTGAGTCAGCCAAACTCTTCTGCGGTGCATCCCCATCCCTCCCAGCTGTGTTAGTTAGGATACAGTGCTTCTGAAAACCATAGATGCTGCTATTCCGGGGAACTTTATCCCAAACCCCAGATCCCCGTCCACTTAATAGTAGGAGAGGTTTTCCTTTTTATGCTAGAGCTGTATCTTTGGGATCTCAACAACATAGCCACAGAGGGTGTTGCTTTTTACAATTGTATGTAAAAGGCTCATTGACAATAAGATCCAGGATAGAAGTTTGAGGCCTCAGGAATGCTTGCTGCTTCTACATTAAACTTCTTTGCTTCCTGGTTTTCCCCCTATTCAGGCAGATAGCCTCTGTAAGCCTCCTAAGCTTGCACTGATTGAGGTCATGATCGCTCCTGTGAATCCCTAGTAGTGATTTTGTTGTTCACGGTCAAAGTCAAAAGAAACGGGGTGTTCTCAGAGTGATCTGAGCAAATGTATGGCAACTTCCTATTTTCTGAAGAAAAAAAACCTTTAGAAACAACTTCTCCTGAATTTGGGGCATATAAAATAGTCCCATATGCCCAGAGCAATGGGCATGTGTGGAGAGGAACAGGAGGCTAGATCCAGACTCTGGAGGGCTTTGTGGCTCCATCACCAGCCCGAGGCTGGTCTCTGAGGCCCCCTGTGATGCTGTGACCCCCGTGTGTCATTGGCAGTGTTCCTCTGCTCTCTCTTTCCTCCCCAACAGGGAGCCTCCAGCCTCTTAGAAGAGAGGAAGGCAAGGGCACCAGAAATGCCTTAAGATGCCCTTTCCCTGTGATAACTATTTATGAATTCAATAAATTCAACTCCCAGGCAGAGTTTGGGGAAAAATCAGTGATATAACACAAATAAAAATAGTTGCCTAACTCATGGTGTCCTAGGTCCATGCTTAATAAACATTCGTGGTCCTTATTATGAGATCACCCTATGGAGTCAGCTTTAGGGTTGCAGCAAGGAGATGGGGATCTAGAGAGCCCTTATCCACCCCTGAAGGAATATTAGAGACAGGAGTGCAGAGAGCCTTGACCTGGGGTCCAACTGACCAACTAGTGTCAACTTCAGGGGACCCAGGGATGGTTAGTCATGCTGTCCTTTTGGCCAAATGTTTACTCTTATTTAAAATGCTAGGCATGGGAAGAGATGACCCATTCCAGTGTTGATACTGTATACATTTGTAAGTTAGAATGTGATTTAGAGATAAAGATTTCCATAGTTAATTGGCATTGGGAAGGTAAGTTTGAATGCTGGGAGGTCTTTAGTTGAAGAATGGGCTGCTCTTAGGGTGGAAGGAGGGAGGGATGTAGAGAAGCCAGAGAGCCTGCTGAATGCCACACCCCCCCGAGTGCTGTCCATGGTGCTGAAGGGAATCCCCTGGGGTAGGAAGGGAGCCTCACTTTCTAATTACTCATAACTGCAGGAAGGTCCTTAAAGACACTTTTCCTTTTCTTGTGTGGCACTTGTTTCCAGCAAAATGAACAAGCTTTGCCTTCATACAGAACTGGTGGGATCCCAGCTCAGCCACCTACAGAATAGATGACTTGAAGCAAGTGGTTTAGTCTGAGACTCTCTGTCCTTTTCTGTTTAAATGAGTAAAGCATATTTAACTCCCGCAGGGCTCCTGTGGAAAGAAATGATGTCATTCTCCTTCCACGACCAATACTTACTCACATTTCTTCCCTGGACACTGTTGGACTGGCCCAGAATGTCTTACAGCCAAAATATTTTCTAGAGTCAGTATCTCAGATTCTAGTTCATGTGCACCCCCCCCTTTTTTTCTTACTCTTGAGCCTTTTTCCTTTGCTGACAGAGCATTAACGTCTTTTTCTCTTTTCTTGGGGCTATTTGCTAAAAGTCTCAGCCCATTAAGCTGTGAAGTTTTGTTGCTTTGGGAAAATGTTAGCATCACAGTAGGCCATAAACAAGGGAAGGGAGCCAGGCATGCAGAAAAGAAGAGACTCCAGATTCCAGGCTGGGTTGAGTGCTCCCTCCTGGCTCTGTCCTGCTTCCTCCTCTGTAAAAAGTTGATTTCCCCTCAAAGGCAGAATTTAGTACCTGACAAAATGTGGACAATGATGGATTCACTCATTCTGGCACTCAGGAAAATGGCAATTAAAAGTTGTCACCAATGCTGGGTCCTAAGCTGGGCACTATGGATGCAGAAGTATAATGATATTGGGGCACCTGGGTGGCTCAGTAGGTTAGACAGCTGACTCTTGATTTCCACTCAGGTCATGATCTCAGGGTTGTGAGATCGAGCCCCACATGGGGCTCCACGCTCAACAGGGAGTCTGCTTGACATTCTCCCTCCCTCTCCCTGTGCCCCTCCCCCTTGCTGGCTTGCGCATGCTCTTTCTCTCTCTCTCTCTAAAACAAATCTTAAAAAAAATTGTATTGATATGGTACCCAACGCAGGGTCTTACTCATTCTAGGTACTTGACAAACACTTGCTCAATTACTGGATAAATGAATGAATGGATAGGGTCTACTTTTAAGATACTTACACAGAAGTCAGAGGGTCAGACAGACAGACACAATGGGGGAACAGGGTGTTAAGATTAATGAAGGTCTACACAAATATGTGGAGGAGGACAGAGAGGAGTACGGGCAGAGGTGGGTTTATGGAAGTAGAGCAATTGGGCTGGTCTTATTTGATGGGTCAGTGTTTAGGAGGTTAGAACATGGACAGTGGCTAGGGTTTGCTGGTGTGTGAGGCAGCCTTGGGAGGAAGAGGGGAGCCAAGCTAAAACAGAAAGCGGTAAGAAAATCTACATTAAATACTTTCAAGAGGCAAAAGGCTATGGATTCGTCTGGCATTCATGTGTGGTTGGTTTATTTTCTGTCTTCTAATTCCACTGATAAAGTGGTAATAATATACTTGTAGTGCTCCAAGCTAAATAGTGTCTTCCTTTTGAAATGAATCTTCACAGGATACATGGGAGTTCGGTCGAATGTTCTCTTTCATTCTCACTGATGAGGGTCCAAGGTACAGAGAGGTTATGGGACTTGCCCAGGGTTACAGGACCAGGTGGACATTGTCCTAACACTGGACCTAGAGTCCCCTGACTGCCTGTTTGAAATCTTCCCACGGGTCCCTCTTACTGCCTCAGTGTGCTTGCAACCGGCATGAGGAGAAACAGGTTTGTCCTCTATTTGTTACACTTTTTCCCCGTATATGCCTTATTTCTGGACTTCCTGCCTTCCCCTCCTTCCCCCTGCATACAAATTAGATTTCCTAGCAGCCCCAGGCATCTTGTACTTCACAGAATGAGCCACAGCACATTTTCCTAAAGAAACATAATGTACCAGCTGGGGCTTAAAGGAGAATGTCAGGAGGGACCTTGTTACAGAGGATGAGGGGTGCCCTGGCTCTCAGGAAGCATGGCTGCAGTGGGCCTGGAAGGATAAGGGCCAGCAGCAGTGTTACCAGAGAGAGGTTTGGGGTCTGGTTGATCTCTTTTGTGAGACCTGCACAAGCCCCCTCCCTCCCGCATCTCATGAATGCGATTTCTCTTCAGAACTCAGCACGGAGTGTTGGAAATGGGCATCTTTTGGTCCAGGAGCCCATATCACTGCTAGAAATAAACAGCAAGGGTTGGTGGAACGAATACGTGACTTAGGTACTCACCCAGGCCAGAGTCCTACTGCAGGAAAACGAATCATCTTAGAAATGTTACTTTTCTTAAAGGCCCAAATGTGAAGTTTTCTGATTGAAATGATGGTTAGAGAGTAAGCTGATTATTAATGAGATTTTTTTCATGCTTAGAAACATAAGCCTTAATAAGCAACGTGTTGCCTAGCAATGTCAAGTTCCACCTGAGATCAGATTGCTGTGCATTATCTCATTGGCTCTTCGCACCAACCTTCTAAAGCTCTTTTCATTTGTCAGAGGAGTTAATTCATTCCAGGGATATTAAATAGCTTGAACAAGATCAGCCACCGGTTCATGTGAGGCTTGGCTGAGTTCAGCTGACCTCATACAGGTGCGCAGTCTCACACAGAACTGATGTGTGTTCTGGGCTATGTGTGTTCTGGGCCAGTTTTATTTTGGAATTGGAAAGGTAGCAGTTGGCAAGCTATAGGTGTAACATTGACTGTGGTCTGTGGGCCAGCATTCCTAATCAAACGCTAATATTGATGCAGCAGAAATGTGTAAGCATCCATAGACAATGGGATCACTGAAGGTTGTACGTAGCCCTCATCAGATCCAGGTGAGTTAGGATAAACCCTTGTTTTCGGAGGCTGAGGATTTTGAAATTGTGGTTAAAAGGGTATGATTCAGTCTCAGCTTCCTTCTACAGGAAATGGCAAACATTCTTCCCTTTTACTCTTCCCATCAAAGTCCAGAATGACAGGTGCAGGAGAATAGCCACTGCCACAAGGGCTAACTGGCATGTAGAACCAGGCCAGACTCTGTGTCAGGATGGCATTCGGCGCGCAGAACCTTGTTTCATGAGCACAGCTGATGTGGCCGCCGCTGTGGTTACCTACCCTTTGTAAGTGAAGAAACTAAAGCTCAGGGAACTTGTCACTTTCTTGAGTCAACCATGAATAGGTGTTGAAGACAGACCTGAGACCCACAGTCCATGCACCCCTGTGCTCAAAGGTTACAGCTCAGTCATTCTTGCCTTTCCCAAACCCTGGAGAAGGGGCCGGGGAAATATAGGTACTTGGCAAATTATTGGTAAATTATTGGTGATTTGGGACCTGATTTGAAATGCAGGTACGCAGTCAGATCTGGGGTGTGGTCAGGATGGGGGCATGATGAGGTCTGGAGAACGCACAGTAAAATTTGGAACTGTGGTCACATTGGAGGTACCGTCTTGTTATGACCACATTTGGAGCCATGGTCAAGGCTGGGGCATGGTAAGCTTTGAGAGGTGCATGATGACCATTGGTGGCTGTGTGCATGTGGGGTGGACTGGGTGGGTGATGGGCTGCCTGGGGGGCCGTGGAGGGACATGCGGAGTTCACATGGCAGAAGAGGCGTTGATGGATCGTGCAGTCAGAATGGCGGGAGGGGCATAATTCCTTTTGTGCACTGGCTCTCTCCTGCCCAGAACTGACCTCTTAATCTGTGTTTCCTCTCTCTAGGGGGACCGAGGTGCACCTGGGATCCCTGGCTCTCCTGGCAACCGTGGTGACCCAGGCATCGGGGTGGATGGCCCTCCTGTGAGTCTTTATTCTTCCAGAACTTCCTCCCCCATCTCTGAGCCACACAGCCACTCCCTGCTGGCTCCCTGGGCCTGCCTGCAAGGAGTCACCCTTTCCAGCCAACCTAGGAGTGGCTCACCAGTCCTCGAGTCAGTCAGGGGGTGTAGACCTGTCCACTGGCTTTGTTTTAAAACTTGGTGTATTTCCTATGGGGATAAGGCTTTTGGGGAGACCAAGGCTTGTCTGACTGAAAGAGGAAAGAACAAAACTCATTAAAATTAAAAAAGAAAAAAATGACTCACTGGCCAAACTTGCAAATCTGAGGTATAGCCAGTGAAACCGAATTGTCCGGGGAAGGGGTGTGATGTGGGAGAGATAGCATGCTTTTGTGTATTTCAGGCCAAATGAGTTCATTACCCCTCTGCCTCCAGTTAGGATAGAGGTGAGGACATAAATAGAATCAAGGAAGGTTTTAATACAGTCTCCAAAATGAAATCCGTGAAGTGGTCCTCCCATTGGTAGGGCGATGAACAAGTCACATTAGTCTGATCGATGTGAGTCTGCAGACTTCTTAGAGGTGGTGACTTTAGAGGTTATAAGAGATTGCAAGGACCAGGGATGTCTGGACCCCAGCCCAAGTTGAGGGGAGCTGTTATTTTTCAACCAGACTCCACCTGAATATCTCTAGAAATAGGAGACACACTTCTTTCAAAGCCAGTATATCTGGGTTTGAAATTTAGACAGTTATTTCCATAGAGAATTGACATTTATTGGAAATTTTTCTCACCGAGAATAGGAATATGGTCTTCTGTGTCTTCCACCCATTGCGTCTGATTCTTCCCAAAGAGGACACTTCCTGTTCCCTTTTACTGAATTACAGCCTTCAGAAATTAAGGCTAGTTTTCAATCCTGGTGACTTATCTTCTGATTTGGTCCTTCCTTTGCTAAAGAGACACAGTACGTTAGTAATGCACCTTAAAATTGCACTGACTTTTTCTTTCTTTTTTTTTAAGAGAGAGAGAGAGTGGGGGGAGGGGCAGAGGGAGAGAGAGAATCCTAATTATTATCCTAAATAGGCTCCACACCCAGCCCTGAGCCAGATGCAGGGCTCGCTCCCATGACCCTGAGATCATGACCTGAGCTGAAATCAAGAGTCAGTCGATTAACTGACTGAACCACCCAGGTGTCCCTCGAGGGTCTCTTTTGTGAAGACACTAATTCTAGTCATGAGGGTTCTGCGCTCATTACCTAGTAACCTCTGGAAGCCCCCACTTCCAAATACCGTCACAAGGGGGGTTTGTTTTCAATATAAGAATCTGTGGGAGACACAAACATTCAGTCTGTAGCACAGTCTTACTATTATTTAAAAGAAGCTCAAATACCCAGTCCTTTTCAAATGCTATTACTAAGCCTCACAATATCCACCCATGTATTCTTGTTGCTGTTAGCATTGCTTAACCCAGACGTGCAATCTAACTCTGCCCCTATTCAGTGTGACCCCAACATAAACCAGAGCAGCATATGACCCCAGTCGTTGCTTGGTTTTGCATTCAAGAAATGCAGACCATAGTCAAAAATAATTCAAGGAACACCACTCTTTGTCTCTCAAATACTTTGAAAGAAAATGCAGTTTCTTCCCCCACAATATCACTTGTCAAACAGAAACCCCCTTTCCTTCCCTCTGTGGTCCTCTGACATCCCAGTGCTTGTCTTGGGCTCCTCACTCTGTCCCTGAAATTCTCCAGGGCACCCCTGCCCTGTCCCCCCACCCCTATCTTGCTTCATTCGCTGCCCACCAGAAATGACCGCCTCCCTTCTATCACACCCATAGCAGTGGGACGCCTGCCTTCCCAAATGTCCCCGGAAACCGTGGATGGAGCAGGTGTCTAGAATCCCATTGAGAATGTGTACTGTTAATTTGTTTTTCTTAAAAGAATTCTCAGGTAGCACAAACCCCCCTACGTCATTAGATCAACTTTGTCTTTGGCTATTTTTTTTTTTTTTTTTTCAGTCTTTTGGTAGCTGGAAGGAACACTCTAGCCAAAGATTGCAGTGAAGAAACATAGTAGTTCAGACTGTTATTGCTGAAATCCTCCTCCTCGTGGGGCCTGATCTGCTCGAGTGAGGATCCTGCATCCTGCAGGAATGACCCTCTAGACTAGAAGACTTTCTGCAAGGGAAGCGTAAGCTGCATGCCCCTCTGTCACTCAGCAGGTCTCTGTAGGTCCTGGTCTGTTACCTAAGGACTCACCATGTCAAGCCCTGAGTCAGAAAGTCAGTGGGCAGAGGTGGTCGCTGTCCGCCCCACCTCCCCCTTCAGAGCTGCCTAAAATGAGCCATGAAATATGATTGTGCCTAAGCGATTCCACCTGAAAAGTAATTGGCTGGCTGCAACCAAGGGGCTGTGAATCAACTGTATATTGTCTTTCCTCCACTTCAACTTATTACAAGCTTCCGTGACAGACAGAACCTTACGGAATTTTCATAAATCTTGTCTTTGGCCCCTTGCCTAGGCTCCTAATGGCCTGGGATTCTGCACAGAGGATGCAGGGGTGCCCTGAGAGTCAGAGGAGGGGAAGTAGGGGTGAAGCCATGGGTGAGGGTCTGCTGGGGACGCCGCTGCCCCTTCACGGGAACAGGGCCACGGGTGGTGTGTGTGTGGCCGGGTGCTGGGTGTAGAAGCATGCACACACACCACTTCCTGGAGTCCCATGGAAGTCGCCTTACTACCAGCTGAAGGCTGGATTCTGCAGAAGCCTCTCCTGAGAACAGGATCCAAGGGCCAGGAGTTTATTTGGGAAATGCTCCCCAAATCACCACTTACAGGGCTGTGTTGTGGGGAAAGGAAGGGAAGCAAGGGAGGGTGTGTTCATGAGCAGGCTTCCACAGTGGATGACTAGGGCTCCCCTCCATGGACCACCCAGGAGATGCGAGGTGCGTGGCAGAGCTGTCCTCTGACAGGGGGGCTAGGCGGGGGTGTTTATGTACCACGCCTATTGGCCGGTGGGTGAAGGCTGCTCCCTGGGGCGGGGGAGCTGATCCCCAGGAGCTCCTGGCCTGCCCCACCCTTGGGCCAAGGGTCCTCCTGTGGCCACAGAAAGCCCAGGATGCTGCCAGGCTGCTGTGTGTTCAGGGCACTTGGAGAGGGATGCTGATGGTGTCTGCTACAACACTGTTTTCCCGGGAAACAGTCTGAGCTTCACAAGGCAGAGTGACGTGGCCAATGCCACATAGCTAGTCCAGGGCCAGGGCCAGGACACATCACTTCCCACATCCTCCCAAGCCAGTTCTCCTCACCTGTGGCTTCAGCAGGATGAGCAGGGTTATTCATTTCCATTAAGGATGGAAGCTTAGAAGTTACTCTTCACGTCTTCCCTCTCAGGGCATGATGCTCCGAGGCCTTTGGCATCAGGAGCAATGCTGACCCCTGGAAGGGAGCCCTGGCTTTTCCTGCCAACCTGGGCACCCTCACTGGACAGGGGCATGGATGGGGGAGCAGTGGCTGCTAACGTTGGCCTCTTGCTTCAAGACATTAACAAAAAAATCCCTTTAATCTCCAGGGTGTCTCTGATCTTCCTTTAGCAAGGTGTTAAACGCTTAAAAAATGATCCAGCCTAGGCCTGAGGGCAAATCAAATTGCCACTGAACCTCACTGGAGCCAGGAGTTCAAGGCCAGCCAGGGCGGGATTCCCACTTGCAGCCGGGCTCCCCGGGACTTGGGTCTTCCGGTTCTGTGAGCTTCTTCATGGGTCGAGTACCAGCCATTTCTGCAGCAGCAACGGGGGTGTTGGGAGGTTACAACACGATAATACTGGTAATAAGACCTGATATCCTGCCTTGGACCCTTCGATGTCATCAAAATCCTCCCTCGCCTTTCCTTCCCCAGTCTGGAGTCTCTCTTCCTGATGCCTCCCTTGGCTTAGGCAGAGGAGCACATGGGAACAGGACTGGCTCGCTGTTAGCCTGACAGCCTGATGGAAGAAGGGAGCGTGGAGCTGATTATGTGCAATATAATGTGTCAGGGTCCTCACAGAGGTGTGTTTTGAACTCCCCATCCTCAAGGAAATAATTAGACTAGAGATGAAAGCTGCTGAAAGGTAAAGAATCCCAGCTGGCATGCCAGTTGGCCTGCAGGGGGCAGCAGAGAGCAGGGCATCCACACCAGATGGGTCCCTTTCCCCTTGTCATGTTACAAATGAGACAGAGGGCACACCATTGCCCGAAGTGACACTTGGGACGTGGCAGAGTTAAGGTTGGGTGCCCCCGCATTCTGACGCGCTCCGGGCAGGGCAACGATAGTGATGAGGTCATGCTCAGGAGTTTTTTCTGGAGATACTTTTGGCTGCCTGCATCTTGGCTCCTGAGTCTAGCAACAATGTTCTCAGTTTCTTTATCGAAGTATCCTTGACACACAATGGCACGTTAGTTTCAGCTTGTATAGTGGCAATTGGGTTTTGTGCATATGTCTTATCTGCCTGTTTGGTTCAGTTCCTTTGGTTATAAGAACCAGAGAGCCACGCAGCTCAGGCCTTCCCAAGAAGTAGGCTGGCCAGTTTCCCTTGAAAGGAGTATGTGTGGCCCTGTGGCCACTTCTCTGGCCCTGCTTGGGGACACCAGGCACTTCTCAGTAGTTAGTGCCAAGCTGAAGCTCCAGGAATGTGCAGGGCTTGGCTCACTGACACGCACTCCCATCCTGTTCTCTGCGCAGAGTGAGGCCCCACGGGCAGCAGACGAAGGAGGTGGGGAGGGTTTGGATAGCACGTTACCCCTCAGACCCCAGGGCTCTGCGGATGACCAGGAGCTGAGTACTCCACTCTTGATGTTTAGATTAAAGTCTTGGGATTTTTCTGTTGATGAAAAAATGTTTTGAAAGAAGTTTCCAGTGTTACTTCTGATTGGGAGCTCTCCTTTTAATCTCTGTTGCTAATATTAAGTCCTGTGCCTACTGAGGACTTCCAATGGGCCAGGCTCTGGTTCTGGCCTCTCTCGGCCTCCCTCCTATGTCCCTCCTGGATTTCCACCCTGGTCTCCCTGCCTGGCCTTCTCCAGTAGCTTCCCCACACCAACCCAGAGCCTGGATCTGAGCTCATCAGTAACTTGGAGGCTTCCCCCGAGGGGCCCTGCCGGCCCTTCTCACCCAGACAGACCCCAGCTGCCCTTGGAAACCCTGGCTGCAGACAGCAGGCACTCCCCGTGTCAGGGAAAGGAACCTGTTCTTCCCTTCTCTGACTGTGAAGCCTCCCGGCCTCTTCCTCCAGTTACTCTCACCCGACACCCTCTGGGTAAAGCCTCCCCAAACTCAGGCAGATGCCAGCACTTCTGGCATCTCTCAACCCAGACCCATTGAGTCCCCATTATCAAAGGGGTGCTTGTCCTTACTGGAGCACTGAGTGTAGGCAGGCTCCAGGACCACCTGCATCTTCCCCCAAGCCCAGCACAGAGCCTGGTACGTATTAGC